GTATAATTAAGCATGCATTGATTCAATAATGTAATTTCGGTTTCACTTGTAATTGTTTTAGGTTTGTCACAATTTATTTATATGCAATTGGCGACATTTGATCATCCATTATATCAATGAGATTTTAACAGTCAAATATATTTTTACCAATAATCAAAGTGCATATACACGCAGCAATGACTAACTGCACATGTTTCGTTTATTCTGGAACTTATTTTTCTGAAACACAATTTCAAAGTTGAAAATTCTAGGTGGCGACAGCAAATATTTGGAGTTATGGGACTTTTATTCAAAATTGCTTATTAAGTTGAATTAATTCAAAACTGAAAGGTATCAATGTGAAACTTGGAACACTTGATGATCATGACATTAAAGAGAAAGTTGTATAAACAAGGAGCATTATCTTGAAAGTATATAATACAATCTACATGTATTGTCAATTATTACATATGTGTTTAACTTTTTTCTTCTTAAAAATATCTTTTCAAAAGTATAAAAGATATCATTCAAAATGAATCTTGAAAAACTTGTTTGTATGATGACAGGCACTTTGTAAACATTGCTTATTATTTGTAGGATGATTTCAAAACTATTAAAGCTATCAAGTTGAATTATTGATTATCTTGCCAAGGCTTAGTTATAAAGCAATGTATAAGTAAAATTACCAGATTTTCATTTCAAATGAAAAAGAATTGTAGCCCACCGGATCAGTCCTTATAGTTAATTCGGGCAATTAATGTTTAAGAGTGCCACGAATTACAGCAAAATGTATCTTTTCCTTATTTTGTCAATATTGAATTTTATGATACTTTGGATGAAATAACAATAAAACTGTCCGTGAAAGTAAATTAAGTGAACTTTGATAATAAACAGACCAATTAAAGTGAACTAAATGTAGTAAAGAAGACATTATGGAGTTAACAAGGAGTTACCAAAGGTGTAAATGAATGTAACAATAAATAACATCTTTATTATTTCATAGACTCTGTGAAAGGATTATAGTCAGAACTTAATTACAATCATAAGATTATAACATGTTATAACTGAAAGAAAGCTGAGAAACACCCATCATGGGGAAAAGTGTATTTAACATTTACATTCATATTATCAATTGTACTTTATATAAGGGTTAGAAAAGCTCAAGTATTGACATGTAACACCTAAGTAGGTAATCTTCTATTTAACTTGGTTAACCTGGGAATACTAGATCAATTCATTTAACCTTCAGTCCTTTATCTTCATGATTTATCATGAGGGGATCCAGGCAGATAATTCAGTGATAGACTATAGCTTCATTATTTTTTTCCTATTTTGTAAATATCTATTCCATAATATTGAAATTCAACAGTAAAAAATAATTATAGGACCTTATTTGTTGCATTGTCAACTTTTCATTGTATTTAAACAATTATGCTTCATTCAGTTTTACATAAGAAACAATTATAGTTGTATACCAGGTAACTCATATTTGAAAATATGTAAAGATAACTAATTGAAGCTATTGTAGCTGTCATCAAACTGCCTAAACAGTTGCGACAAACCATAAATTCATCTGATATTGCTGTGTTTTACCCTTAACACCTATGTCTAAGGTTAGGACGCACTTTGTTTGACTCAATTGGAATACATATGTATCATTTGTTATTTGAAGCATAATCATAAGCAATATAACTAGCATTATTTCTGGTCCAGACGGGAACCCAAGTAGAGCCACTGACATTCCCTAAGCTAGTTAATATAGCTTCATCACATGAAAGAATCTAAAGTCCCTGTCAGGATTCGTATCCACAGTGGTAAGGGGCTAGTAGTTTGAAGTCAACAACCATAACCACTCTGCAAGAGATGTCCCCTGATTAAAACTTCACACATTGATAGAGACCATTTGGAAGAATTACAGTGCCAGAGAATCACTACTTTACCTTGTTTGATTTTTTTTAACTAGAATTTTTTTAGGAAAAAGAAATAGAGATATTCACTATTGGCAGCGTTTCCGTTGTTGTCCGCAAACTTAAACCTTGATCATAACAATACTAAGATCCTGCTGTATTGTCTTCATACTTTGCCTCAAAATATCTTTGGGCAGGACCTTGAAGTAAACTAGACAAAACTTGACCTTCATTCATAGATGACCCTGACCTTCAAAGTCAAATGTCATAATTATGATTGATTTTGCTATTAGTGACTATAACTTTGATAATTTTGAATGGATTGTCTTCAAACTTGAAAACAACAATCTTTTAGGATAGACCTTCAAGCTAATCAGACAAAACTTGACCTTCACTCATAATGATCTTGAACTTGAAGGTAAGTTATTGCCTTGACCGTCAAGGTCAAATTAATGAAATCCATGTAGCCGGCTATAACTTTAAATGACCTTGACCATCCAGGTCAGATGATTGAATTTCGCTTACATTTTCTTAACTTAGTCATTTATTTATGGTAATGATTCATACTTAGACAAAACAAGTGTGACTAGAATGATCAGTTTAGCTACAAAAATGTGCATATTACTAACCTATAATTTTATTAATATTATTATTGACATATTCAAAGTGCTTGATAGCTTAAAAAGGATTTTTCTCTGGGTGAAATGTGCAAATTTCTGTTTTAATGATTTTGCATTAAACCACTGAATGTATTCAAACTGGTACCAGTCATACTAGTTGGTTATAACATAAGAATCTTACACTGGCTGTCAGTACAGATCTGAACATCTAGCTTAAGCATAGTTGTTTTCGGCAATATGCTCTGCAGAGTTTTCTGTAAACAGTTACCCGAAAGCTAGATATTGCCTTTTAAGCCAGGGGTGTAAGCAAGTTTTTTTAGCACCGGCGTAAACAGTAGATTATCCTGTCTGATATGCAAGAATGGTTGTTGCCACATGCTTACCCATACCTCTAGCATGGATTATTCAGATCTGATAAGGAAAGAAATACTCTAATATGAGACTACCTAGAAAGCAGTTAGCATCTAGGACAAATAGTGATAAATATAAAGTATGCAAAATGCCTTAAGTATACTTATAAGTTTTATTCTGGTGAAAGCCAGAAATGATATCTAAGTGTATCTTCCTTCTTCACTCCAGTTCAGGTTGAAACTTGCCATATGACTCCTTCAGTGTCAGTTTCATTATAAACCCACTATATCCCCCCCTAAAGATAGTAAACAGTAAAATTACCTACTTATAATTATAGTCTGTCCCACGAAATTTGAACATTTCATTTTTTATACGAATTGCAAGATATCTGGTCAAAATAATTTTCAAGTACATCCTAGGGTCAATATCTCTAGGCATGTTTTTCATTTTTTTAAAAGAATTAATGATAACCTTTAAAATGGTAAAAATGTAATTTTCTCCGTAGACTTACGTTGAATTTTGACGTGACGTCCATTTCAAAATGGCGGCGCCCATACGAACGTCATTTAGGGGTTGTCTCACAATTGTAATTAATTTCAATTGCTAAAAGAAAATACGTAATTTAGTTTGGTTATAACTATAAATGAAAATCTTTTTTGCTGGAAAGATGAGAACGCGATACTGAACGATAAAAAGTAGGTAAGAAAATTATTTTGTTTCAGTATGGGTAGAATTTTACCGGAGTTGGAAAAAAATTTTTTTTTGAAAATAACGAACCACCTTTGATCGCTGTACTCAAATATTTTATTCGCGGTTGTTTAATATCGAATTTAAGCCCAAGCTAAATTATTTACACCGTGGCTAAATTGATTATTTTGGATATATATATGCGAGTTATACCGTGTCTGCTAGATAAATGCAGCGATTAAAACGCACACTTTTAAAGAAAATCACGTTGAAGTGATGTGGGTAAAAAAAATACACAAAATGATACTTTGCGACTTATTTTCATTTTTTTTGTAATTTTGCTGTTTTCAATGCTTCCGAGGGATCTTTTTTTTTTAGATATTTATTTTTCAGGACGGCTTACTTTATACGCCAGAGATTTTTGAATGTACCCGTTTTATGTGCAACATTAGAATCACACTGACGTCTTTGCTAATTTATTATTTTGGAGCAAAAATTCAGCAATTTAAGTTATTGCACTAAACATGCACAGAAACTTTTTAGAAATCCATTGTCATATCATATTACTATAGTTGTTTTTTTTTTTAATTAACTCTTTGTTACATGGTAGCCATTGTATTATGCTACATACGGCAGTTTTGCAGGAAATGGAAATAAGACTCTTTCGGGTAAATTTTCCACTTTCAGAAGAATGTAAGTTTTTTTTTCTTGAACTTTTTAACTCATCTGTAGGCATGCAGCTTTAAACATAAGTTATCTGACAACATAAAAAGTCGACTGATTATAAATGGCTATTGATATTATCTGTGAACAGGCGCATTTATAAATACCAAAGAATTCATTTGAAAGTAATATCACACTACATGAAGAATTTTACCTTGAAACACAGCTTTTTACACAAATTACACATTTCAACGGTTTTGTGTTCATCGTACATATAAATAAGAATCCTTAAAGAAAGTCAGAAACGGCAAAATTGAAAACGTTGCAGGTTCAGTTTGATTTAGTCTGTTCCTGGACGGTTCTGTCCTTGAAGCCGTTTTGGGTAACAATACTTAATGGGACGACTAACATACTTTTCTATGACAAGTATTTTTATAGATGTTCTTGATTAATTATCTGTACGTTTCACTGTAGTTTCGTATAATAGAATAAACAATAAAACAACATCAAAGATAAATATATGTGCATTTATTCATTACTATATGCCTATATGGCAAAATCTTAATATCAATTAAAATGTCAATAAAAATTTGACTTATACACGATTAATATATAATTACTATAGTCTATTCAGTAAGTAAAGCTTATATATTGATTTTCATTTACCTTTAAAGTAATAAGCCCTGTTAAAATGATGTATGAAAAATAATTTCACATGAAAAGCAAAAAAAAGAATTTTTTGTAGAAGTAACATTTTTCATATTAACACATTGACAATGAAACCATTTTTCACATGCATCACACAAAATCCAATCAATCTGGCCATCCACACAAACATCAAGCTCTCTTTTTCCACACTTATTACATTTATCTTCACTTCTAATATCTTTCGCACCATGTACACTATCAAGCATAGTAACATTTGCCCCATCTTGTGGTAAGTCATTGTCCTCGTTTGATTCATCGTCAATGTCATAGTCGTCTTCGTCCGTATCGTCATCTTCACCGAGGGAAATGACAACAGGTGCAATCTCATCCTCACGTACACCATCGATGCGCCATAACTCACTTTCAATTTTATTAATAACATGGTCGTCGCATCGATTCCAATAATCGGGCGTTATAAGTGCCTTAGACTCTTTAAACAGGGCCATGGTATTAATAAGTTTGAAAGATGTGTTGTTTCTAGCCACATGACCCTTCATTTTAGCCCACACAAGCTCTATTGGATTTAATTCACAGTGCCGTGGGGGCAAACGAAGGACCCTGTGACCAGCTGCCATTGCAAGCTCATCGATGATGTACTTTGGACGAGGTTTGTTCCTCCTGACAATTTCCAACAGCTCAGCTTTAACCATTTCGTCTGAATATTGTAGATTATTTTGCCGTAGCCAAAGTTTGATATCGTCCTTGCGTGTTGCTGTTGTAGGTGACCTGGAATCATCTGTCATTACAGAATGATAAGATGCATTGTCAAGAACAATTGTGCTTGGTCCTGGTAATGCAGGAAGTAGGGTGTTTTTCCACCAGTCAGTGAAATATTTGTGGTTCATTTCAGAATGGTAGTCTCCACTATCATTTTTTGCCACAAATACTTCACCGACTCCGGGAATAAGACCTACATCCCTACAACCAGCATCAAGTACAATCATACGTTTGCCTTTACCAGATGGGACAAATCTACCTGTATCTCTTTCACTTCCTATCATACGCGATGTCATGCTTACTACACTATCACTCCATTCACCTTGTACACAATGATTCACATTCACCCACGTTTCATCCAAATACACAATTATATCTCCACTCTCTCTAGCCTTTCTAACTTCTCTCAGATATCTATGCCTGGAAGACACAACATCCTCACGCTCTTTCACAAATCTCTGTCCTAAGCCGCATTTGAAGAATCTGAAAAAAGAAGAATACACTTAAAACATTCATATTTTAGAAAAAAAAAAACATTTTAATCAAATTACTTGGAAATTATTTTATACTTATTATTAACTGCGTTTTGTTTTCGTTAGAGTGAATTATTGCATATATTTTCACAAAACATAAAAAAATATTTATTATATACTTATAAATGAAATATTGAGAAATATTGATGAAATAAAATGCGTATTTTCATTTTCCATATTTCACTGTAAAAAATGAAACATTTTCCGTCTTGCCGGACTGCTTTCCTGTAAATTCAGCCAATACACACAATTTAAGGGAGAATCATTCAAATTGTAATATCAGAAAGAAAAATGTATGTAAAAACATATAATTCTTTTTTTGCTATAAATACAGGATTTATTTTCATCTTGTGGTATGAAAATTATCATATTTCAACTTTCATACTTTACTTAAACGCTTGTGAAGGAAATAGCACCATATCCTACCAATATGATAGTGATAATAGGACGTGTTAATTTGAACGTCAGCATTTCATTTTTTATTTGTCGGTTAAATTTGACATTCGGACGAAAAAACGTTAATATCACACATGGAAATACACATAACATCATCTGAAACATCAGTCATCATCGCCTTGGTGACATTTCCGGGAAGGAATTAATCAATGGATTATTTTCATACTTGGACAAAACAACCTTTTGAACAAGACCTTGTGAAATCTTGAACTAACCTTAATACCATGACTCATACTTTAACAAAACAAAAAGTATGACTAGACCGACCTATTTAAAAATAACCATTTTCGAAAAGTATAAAGTAGAGCGTTGTAGGAGCACATTTGTCCCGGAGCACATTTGTCTTACGTTAGACCGATGCGGTCGCATTTGTCCCACATGAGACAAATGGGAACTCAAATGTCTAACCCAAAACACTCGTTTGTGTGACAAATGTGCTCCGATCAAGTTTTTAAGGGACAAGAAAGCACATTTGTCTCATGTGTTTTTAAGCGACAAGGAAGCACATTTCACTCATGTCATTTTTATGAATTATTTGTCACATATTTCCGCACGGCAGAAATTCTTTTTTAGACTCGAGGTTTGCCGTTTTATCCCTTTGCTTATGCTTTCTTTATGAAAACCTAAATTGAACTTTTAATTATAATATCTCTAATTCAAGAAATTGATTGTCTTAAGCTGAAGGCGTACACTGAAACATACTAAATCCTGTTCACGATGGTACAATGGTGACAGCGCGGTGGCACGATGGTACGTTGATGAAAACGCGATGATGCGATGGTGAAAACACAATGGAACGAACGTGAAACAACGATTGTACGATGGTGAAACAACGATTGTACGATGGTGAAACAACGAAGGCTAGATGATGAAAACGTGATGGTACTAAGGTGAAATACGATGTTATGATGGTGAAAATACGATAGTACGATATGATGAAACATGATGGCATGATGATAAAAAGCGATATTATATTCTCTATCGTGTCATTGCATCATCGTGATTTCACCATCGTGCCATCGTGTTTTAATCATCGTACCATCTCAATTTCACCTTTGCACCATTGTGCATAGCTGTTCATGGAGACAAAAATGTTACTTATGTCCAAACGGAACAACGTAATCGGTTGGTATTGAATGATTCAATATCGTGACTCTTTTCGCATCTCGCCAAAATCTCGCGTCACGCTTCGCATCTCGTTCGTCGACGCGAGACAAGAAATTGATTCCAGGTCATATACCGCTAAGTAGTATTCCCTTTATAGTCTACATAAAATCACTTAAAGGCACATTATGCCTGAAAAATGCTTTTATTTGTATTCCTCAAAAACTTTTTATTTTTTGTATACTTTTAAAGCTACAAAAAATACTCATTGGCTAATTACCTGAAGCATTTTTTCATCTGCTGTTTTCTTGCAATTTGCATAGTTGAAGTGATTTAGAATTTTGTATTGAAGTCAAAATACTACTTTGTTTACATTTTGCTACTTTAATGGCGCATTATTTCACAATTATCGCGCATTTCTTTGGGTTACAAGCATCTAACTTCCTCAGAAATCATTATTTGAATATTAATAAATTCATACTTGCCCTATCTAAAGAACTAATTTCTGAAATCTCGTGGTACGGGAAACTTCGACATTGCGTTACATTATCGTGCCTCGCTCGCGATTCATCGAAATTTCACGTCTCGCCCGATTCTGAGTGGCCCGATATTCCATAATTATGGCATTACCCGGATTATTTTAGGAACTTATGCATGTTGTAAGTGCTTTTTCAATGGCGGATCTGAAAGCCGTAATTCTTGGAAAATGACGATTTTTTATACATATATTACTATTGAAAACAAAAAAACGTGTAATGGTCTTCTTATTTTCTTCCATTGATCATTTAAGGGCTTCGTGGACGAATGATTTTAAAAAACCACTTGCCCCTTACCGATGTTGGTTCGACACATACACGGGTCGTCGAACTATTCATGCGAGGATCCTGGTCAGGGTTCAAATGTGGAATACAGATCCACGTGCGCACGTAATAGCTATCGCGTGCGCACGTAATAGTATCGCGTGGCCACGTAAAGCTATCGTATGCACACGTAATTAATAAGAAAATTCTGTGTCTCCTTTATGCCACCGTAGACACTACCTTGTTTTGCTAAGAATATTTCTAGTGCCATAAATCATTTATAAAGCATTGAAAATAAACGTATCACAATAAATAACAATAAGAATAGACTTGCTGCATATGTGTTTAGGTTCTGGATACTGCGCTTGTAGAAATTTTCATTGTGACGTGCAGAACAGGGATATTCTTTAAATTAAGATATGACTCCTATGCAGAGGCAGGAAGTTTTTGACTGACCGGAAGTGACCTTAAAACGGTATTATAAATACAGAAAACACAGAACAATGGCTGGTAGCCGGTATACAGACAGGCGTAATTATTAACTTTTAAGAATTTTATGAAAAAAATTGAGACAAATGTGCTTCGAGTGTCCTATTGTGTGTCGAACACATCTGTCTCATTTCCAATTTGTCGCAAATATAAATGTTAACGATCACATCGGTCACATTTCGTGAGACAAATGTGCTCCGAGACAAATTTGCTCCTACAGAGCGTTGCCCCCACCAGGCGGTGGCTCTTATCATATAGTACCAGGCGTTATAACGCAGTTATGTTGTGTTTCGTCCATCGGACACGATGCAACCGACATTATATTTTTTCACTTAGGCTGTCGAATATGCTGTCGAACGAAACTGAAATGGAAGTTAATTCAATTTCAACTGAGACTCTTTTTATAAATTGGGATCCTGTTAGACAGTCTGAATATTGGCATTTATCAAGGTTACATGCTGCACTGCCTGTTAACAAATAATGTATATGGGACATTTATTTGCACCTTGCTTATCGTGGATAAGCGAAAAAGCGCAACGTGCACTAGCTTTTATAGTTATGGTTACTTTTTTCTACTGTGTGTAACAAATGAACTTTTCATTATGTTTGATATTGTGGTAAATCTTTGTTATGCTATTGGTTTCAGATATGTATAAGATAATTTACTTCTGCTCATAAACACCAATATCATGGTACTTACGATCATGGTAATATATTTTTTTATTATTTTATACAACTTGCTTCTACATTTTTTTATTTTTTTCTTTCGTAGTATAATTGAGATTTACGAGAATGATAAAAAATGAAAATAACTTTCGATATTGTGATTACCGGTAATATACAAGTGTTATTTAAGATTGCACATGTAACGAAGACATTTTAAAACAAAATAAAATATATTAAACGTGAGAAAGGAAAAACGTCCGGTACCTGGTTCTTTCCGACAAAGGGTCGGAAAACAAATGATTATTTTGAAAACTTAAACACTTTCGCATAGACCACGTCTGTTCCATAATTATGTGAACTATGGAAGTGTGAATGTTGTTATTATTTCAATGAATATGATGACTTTACCTAAATCCCATTTTCAGAACTGTTCTATGAAGAGTCGACTTAGATATTTGAATATCTTGTTTTTCTAGATTCAGTGCTAGCGTCCTCAATGTCACTTTCTCATTTGTTCTATTCATGGAATGTATGAGTCGTCTGACAATACCTTGATCAAATGTGTCCATCCGACAACGCCATGTAGGTCGCATTAGAATTGATTTCTGTAAAAAAATATCTGAACATCAATATGTACAAATTTATAAATTACGAAAAAGTATGGCAATGTCAATATTGCAACTGAAAGCTGAACTTTTCCTCTAAAGAGCAAAATAAATAGGTTGCCATAACGTGAATAGCCTTTCAATATAGCAAGAGCATGGAATTAATTGTACTCAATCCTCTTAAAAAAATTGGGTCATTATCTATAACTATATAGAGTTACTATTTTACAGAAAACTGTTCACTTTTTTCTTTATCGCATGGCTTTTCAATTTTGCAGTGTTGGGCTTTCTTTAGGGATTCTGTTTTTCTCTATTTTTTGAGCTTCTTCTTTGTTCGGGCGTCCGTGGTGGAGTGGTTAAGGTCATTGACTTCAAACCACTTGCCCCTCACCGCTGTGGATTCGAATCCCGACTCTTTCATGTGAGAAAGCTATCCAGCTAGCTTACGGAACGTCAGTGGTTTTACTCAAGTGCCGTTCGTGCCTAAAATAATGCACGGAAGGGCACCTGAGGTCTTCCGCCACAAGTAAAGCTGGAACGTCGCGATATGACCTTTATATATACTGTGTCGATGTGACGTAAAACCCAATCAAAACAAAATCTTCTTTGTTCTTTCTAACCCAATTTACCCTGTACACTTCTATTTAGGATTTGAAAACTGTATTGATATATAATTTGAGTGCTGTATTTTGTGATTAAGAAGAATAATGATTTCCTGTCATTGCTTTATGATTGTTAAACTCTCATTTAATGTTTACAATATATTTAATGCCTTCCTTAAAAGTTTATTACTTATAAGGTACGCCGCAAGTTACGTAAACATTTACCTATAGATGGGGTAGTATTGTGCTTTGAAAAGCAAAATTAGCTACGCGACTGAATTAGGACATGACATCATTCTTCTCGAGCTATGACGCAGTAAGTTGGCAAATTTGATTGTGTACACGCAAAGTTTTACTGCCTTTTCATTTAAAAATATGTTGGATTTTTAATTCACTGGTAAAATGATTTTATGAAAAGGATATTAATAAACAGGTTTTCAATGGATCATGCACTTGAGCAGTACTGCGATTCAAGTTATTGTTTCTTTTGCATGATTCTTTCATTGCCTGGAAAACTTCAAATATTTGAAGGAAAAAAACAGCTTCAACAAGGAATAAGACATTATGTGGAAGTAATATTGGAATAATTTCGATGTATAAACATGATGACATCAGTGACAATGTTGTGGTGTTCAGTGGAAGATTGTTGTTGAGAGGAGAAGATTGTTTGATCATAGGCATGCATTCAATGAAATAATGACCGTGAGTAGATCTTCTGAATATAAATAGCTATCAATGTTTCATTTGTAAATTAAAAATAAAAATACTGTACCTTGGGCTTGGTTTCTCTGTTCACAATTCTACTGATTGTACTAGATGGCAAACCTGTCGCGACTTTCATTCGTTGTAAAATATTATTCAGGTGCCAGGGTTTCCGTGTTTCTTTCTCTTTCTCAAAAAAAGCTTTCAAATTATAAAGAATTTTGGCTTTTTCGTTCATGATATTTTCCTGTGCCATTA